GGAGGGAGATTATCTTCCGGGAAATCTATGATAGACTTAGAAATTGGACGGCAGAGCAAAACATAGGCCGACTTCGAGGCAAAAAAACTAATGGACACGATGTTGCTTCGTCTAAGGAGCAACACCGAAATTTACCAACACCTTATTGATTGTCAATTGAGTATGACGAAATAAAAGAGATTCGCTGTAAGATAGGCAGCCATTTGTGTCTCAGTGCATATACGAAGGGTCAAAGTTCTGCTTTGGGCTTACGCCGAGCCGGCGCCTTCTTGTGACGTGCTTACACCATCTACATTGTAAATTATTCAGAGCCTCCATTGCAGATTCTGTGACAAGGATGAATTTCTAAAAGAAAGAAATCAAGTCAAATTAGAACCTGGACCGCTTCGGCCACTTCCAGTCGTGTCCCAGAGGTTGCACTGAGGGAATTCTTAGGAGTTGGTTGTTGAAATATTGTAACCTTTTTGGTCAGCCGTGTTGTATTATGACAAGAATTTTTGAATGGGAGATAATGAATGAGAGATCAAGGGCTATCTATTGTATTTTCACTCATCCCCTACGAGTGGTTCTATTTTTACGTACTACAATCGGGAAACTCAAAGACGAAAGTCGTTCGATACGATGCATAGAATAACAACACAAGATATTTAGTTAATACACCTTCGGTCTTCTGATATCTCATAAGGATAATAATGAACTTATTCTTAGAAACATGAATGAGTTTAAAGTCCATGTCATGGAGCGCGGCTCCAACTACGTTTTCTAAACCCCGAATACACCTCCCGCACCCTCCAAGGTCCAATTTCCGTTGATTCTCAGACTCTCGATGCGAGCAGGAGCGATTTTAGTCAAACTCACAGTTACCGTGGGAATGTCGAAAGGAATCCCAGGTTGAAGGGTTGCCAAACTGTCGTACCAAGAACAGCTAAGAGACGTGTCGGCAGTAGTGCACCTGTAGTATGGGTCGACCTTCCAGTCAAATGTGCCGATGCCGTTGAAATAAAGCCTGGGGTGTTTAGATTAGACATATACCAATGGTGAAACGAGAATAGGGTAAATGAAGTGCAGGGAAACAAAGAGAAGAGTTTTCGTACGGGGCTTCTTTATTCTTGTCCGAGCATTTCCACACTTTATTGAGCGAGATGATCTTGTTGAACGGATCAAAGCTGTAAGTGCAGTTCCAGTGATCGTCCACGGGCTTGCCATCATTATAAGAGTTGCAATTATATCTGAGAATATATCAGCGATCACTGGTCATGATGTTGGCCGCATGTACGCACACTGTCTCTATCCCACTGCCTGACAGTGCCTCGTATACATAGAAGAAGTAGTCGGCAAAACCTGGACCTGTCAGACCACAGGTAAAGCGGCTAAGAGTGGCACTCTTCGGGTTATCCGCAGGGTAATCGTTCGTCTCAAAGAACATGCCGCGCATGTACCACGTTGGGTTCACAACACTATCAAAAGTGCAACCGCCCTTTGCGGGATACGCTGTCACAAGCGAGAAATCAGGCAGAGAATTCTTAGCGTCTTGTGTCCCCGACACAGAGTGACTGCTGGATGGATCGGTGCAAGTGGTTATGATGTCGTCTGCTGAGCCTGTAATTCCTGCGCTTGATGCGCATTCGAGTTGGAGTGAGGTATTTCCGCTGGCGACAATGACGGTACTGATTCAAATTAGATCTCAACAGGTTAGACACATGAAGAATCACGGAGAATAGCAAGGAAACATACGGAGACACGTTGGTAGAAGGGCTTTCAAGACAGTACCATAGCTGCTCAATCTTCAAATCAAAACCAGGTGCTGTGCCGGTCAAGGTCACGTCCAAGGTAATTTCATTGAACTCTCCACCGGTGCAGCGCAAGGGACTGGGCGGAGAGGAGCTGCCATACGAGGGAGTGAAGTCACAGACAACCTCGTGTGCAATTGCGTTATTTGTAACCTTGAGGTGAAGATATACGCCCTTTGACAAGAAATTGACTGGGTCCAAGCAGATGCGATCAGGGCTGTACCATTGCTTGCATTGGCCTTTGGTGTAGTTCTTGTATGACACTTCTCTCACAACCCACTGGTCATCGCCGACGTTTGAACATGAAGGCTGATCAAAGCCAGGAGGTGGCACGGGTTGAGCTGGGGAGAGAGGGACTGGCAAAGTAGTACCACCTTGAACGAGATATGGTATAGGAGAGACACAATCGCTACCTTTGCATTGAGTGATGGCTGTACTGCCACTGGCGTAAAATATGACTCTTGAGTGAAGAGCTTTGTCAGCCGGGAATGGTAAAAGATGCGAATGAAAACCTAGATGCTAACTCACTTATCGCCGGCATCCCCGCACACCCAAAGTTCAGTAATGGTAATTGTTGTGTCTTCTCCTTCTTGGGATAGAGAAACGCGCATTTCATCGCTTCCAGAACTGCCCTGGCATTGACCGGTTGTCTTGCACTCAATATCAGCGTTCAGACCAGTTGGGTCTGCGGCGCGGTTTTGGACCCTGAAAGTCGCAGTGCCGCCAGATACAGAGTAATTTGTGATGACCCAGCTTGGGATTGTCAATGATTTATCCGTACATCTTCCAGTTGGCCATGTAGGAGTTTGGGGAATTTCGATGGACAAGGCCACACTAGAAGCCCATAGGGCTCCTATGAGAATCGACAGCATTCCCATTACTGACAACGGCAAATATTGATATGCTGGGGGAATAATGCTCTTGTCAGTGGTGAAGGATACCACAACAAGGAAGGGTATCGCAATACATCGAGACGGTTCAACCCTTGTTTATATACCTATACAAAGACAAGTGGTCTTTTTCACTGTCGCATTCTCTCACCGGATCTCACGTGAAGACTCCAATGTGACACGGATTCGGTTGTTGAAGCCGACTTGGGTATATCTTCAACCAGAGGGGCGCATGTCACTGTAAAAGAACCGGAAGGTAGTATTCCGGAAATGAAAGAGTGAATACGTTAATGCCGCGAACCAATCGGTTGATGGGGGCTGAGAAATCAGGGTTTCATCCAGAGTTCAATAGTGAGCTTTTAGTTCGGCACGGTGAACATAGAAAGGCCCAGAGTAGAACAATATTTCTAGTAAGCATTAGTCAATGTCGCACTGGCCAGTGTCATAACACTGTAGCTTACGGGCGGGATGAATTGAATTTGAGGTATTCGCAAGAACAAGACCTTGCTTGTCAGTGAACTCTACGTACGTCATCGCTAGGGGTCGCTGCTCCTGTAACTCTTTTGTTCAGTCATGAGGCTTACTGGATCGAAAACATCGGATTTTCTTTTCTCAAATCTATTGTAGTGGTATTGGGTTCCTTTGATTCTCCGTTCTAGCAAAATCGAAGTCTACAGACTGGATTCATAGCAACGTGCCAGCGTTCACTGGCCTTTTAGTGCACTGGAGAAGTAAATGATGTATATAGACTTAACTGTTGGGGAAGCTGCTCATATTACGGAATTTGATTAATCATGATCTCGCCAAATGTGATATAATGTTGCTTCGGGATTTCTGGATGTGGGAGTGTGGCGAGTGTTTTGAAGGACCTTAACACACCAGCAAGGATTACCTTATCCTAACATGTAAGAAAATGAATTACCTGTTAAAGGCATTTGCTGACTCTCGAGAACAAGGATGTGGGATAGAACGGCTAAGTGGTGTGTTATCGAAACTGGGGCCTTGCTCCACGGCTACACCATACCCAACACTCAACTCTGCAGCTGATCACTGATCCTCCTGCGCCAGAGCTTTGACCACTGCCGCTGTTGAATTGAAAACAAAGCTTAGATGTCGGAAAAAAATCGTGAGGGTTTTTGGCCTAGTCATTTAAACAGAATATGAACAAAGCCCGTCATTTCAACGGGTTACAACAAAGGCTCAATAGGATGGCTTACCCAACAAGTGGCCCGCGCTATGTAATGTCGAACGAGGCGTCTGGCAAGCTCTGGAAATATCAATTCAAGCGAGGCTACCCTGTGGCATAGTAAAATCGGATCGTAAACCCGTTGCGAAAGATGCGAACATGTTGAGTTGCACGACCAAACAAACATTTTTTCCATTTACATGGATATACTATCTGCCTAAGAATTTGACGTACCAAGCAGTTATACCACAATTACTCCTCCATCGTTGTCACAGTTATTAATAATCAGTTGCTCCAAGTTACTGTAGTAGAATTAATAATCTCAAGCAGTCGAATAGTCCAACCCAAACGCCAATAAGTTGCCACGTTCTATGATGCAAGTCCCGAAAACCATTAGCCTTGCCAACAAGTAGAGCATTCACCAACTCCGAGGCCAACACAACACAATTTAGAGTGAAGAAACAACTCTTGGTAGAAGCAAGATGGCAGTACGAATTCGTTGTACATGTGTCTTAATTCAACCATGAATAATCAACCTTTGTTCCACGAGGAGCTGTGAATAGCATCTAAGTGGAACAGTATACTAGTTATCTTACTACTTACAAACAATCTACATCCGAGTATCTGCAACTAAGATGTATCGAATCCACTGGCTGCCAATCAATCAACTACAGCGCTGTGGCTCTTTTATTTTGTATCATTAAACCTTGTTTGTTCTACTGATTTGCTTCGGCTTGTCTAATGTCGTGATCTAATACTTCTGCTCCATTGTGATATAGTGTTGGTAAATAGTTACGTGTAACTCAATCACCACTTGTAAGTGTTATTCAATCTGAGAACAACAAAGACTCTATCTTCAACCCTCCCAACCGTAGGCTCGCAAAAGTCTATAAATACTGATATAGATTCCCGCTTTGGATGTTAGTTTCTCTCTTTTCTGCACCAAAGTCCGATACCTGCACTGCAAAGACACCAAGAAATTCGAACTGAACCTCGCCACAGCTATCACAGCTTCCGCAAATTTCAACCACACCGATAAGGAATACGCCTTGAATTCCTATCAGCGATTCCTCAGCGAACCAGCAGAGTCTCCGTATCTTTTTTCTTTTAAAAGAACTGACAAGAATTGCCAAAATGAGCTCCGAAAAGCTCGAAGAAAAGCTCGATAAGATGTCGAAGCTGCTGGCAACATTGACGGATCAGAACAAGGAGTGTAAAGAAGCTCTCGAAAAGTGCCTTGAAATGTCCAATAAAAGTTTGGATGAGAAACTCGTGAAACTCAAGGGTAACAATGAACGAACCAAAGAGCAGATGAAGATGCTGTTTGGCGAAGAAAAGAACGTCGAGGAACAGTTTATGCCATATGCGTGGAGTAAATGTCTGCAAGATGAGGAAATACACCTCCGAGACAAGGAAAGGGGGGAGTTTGGGGTCAAGGTAAACGAGCTTGACCGGGCAATGCGGAAGAGCGATGATCTTATCAAGAGCATTGAAGAGGCTAGTCGTAAGAAGTCAGCCGGATCCGAGGCAGAATAGGTGCCCTCCAAATTTTCTTGTTTATTTCTAGCTACCTAGGTAGAATTAGCATAAAAATCTAAGGATTTTTAGCCAAAAAAAAAAAAAAACCCAAGCGTGCGAAATGAATACAAGTGAGATTTATGCATGCCAACTAGATAAACTACTAAGGCCAAAAGTCTATACTATAAATTTCTCCACTAACCACCCTTTGCTTTCTCATATCTACTTTGGAAGTAGCAAGAAGACTTTGAGGAGACTCGGTATATCAGCATATTAATTGATCTAACTATATCTCCCAAGCAAAAATTCATATCCATTTCATGCCTGTATCCTTTGAATCCGTAGAATTAGACGATTTAGGAGGTGGCTGCTGGCTACTGGAGGAATATTATCCCTCTGTTGCACTACCTTGTAGTAAATCAAGCAACATGTTGGAGGTTAAGAATTCGGTTCTAGGTGCCGGAGAGCTAAGCCACTTTACGATTGCCTCGGAATAAAGACTAATGACCATGGCCTGTTCTGTGAAAACTGGAAGCAGTTGCGTATTTGTATAACCATATAATTCTGTAAACATACCTAGGTAGTCTGTGACGGTTTTCTAAATAACGGCCAAGTTAGCATGGAATAAGAAATGGTGATTATGAACCCTATATAGTGTTTGAAAGGTAACGTGATTGAGGCCTCAATTAATAACGGGAGATTAGTGCAGTTACTCTTTAAAGTTATTTCTATTAGGGAGGCATCTAACGGGAGACGACCGACGGTCTTATCATGAGGCGTAAAAAACAAGGGTGGAAGGAATGTTACGGCAACACCGGTGGAATGGAATATGATGAGCACGTATCCAATGTCTCACAACTCGTATGCGCCCGTGACGGAAAGGCAAAGGGTATCGATGGCCCGCGACTCTAATGGATTTCTTCTCCCTCATCACGTATTTTATTAGCTGAGCGACTGCGTCATCAAATAATACCGACAGACGAGCGTTGAGCGTCATGGCAAACGAGGCTCCGGCCGCGAGCTCGCCTCACCCAGAAGGCATTGCCAGCAGGTCGAGCGATACGGTCATTCTAGAGCTCCAGCCAATCGAGAACCAAGAAACTCCAAGAGCAACATCGACGAGAGAATCCAGCCGGTCGCGATCATCAACCGAAGACATAACCAGCCTAAGCAGAGAGGAGGCAGCAATCATACAACGCCAGACTGAGGTCCCCAACGACAGGAAATATGGAATAACTGATCTCGTTCGATATGCCACCAAGCTGGACATTGTCGTCATAGTCATTTCCACGCTTTGCTCGGTCGCTTCGGGCGCCGCATTGCCGCTCATGACTCTGGTGTTTGGTGGCCTGCAGGATGTGTTCCAAAAGTTTACCGCCCTTGGAAGCCTCAACTCGGACGGGTTTAATAGAGAACTGGTCAAGTATCTCTTATACTTTGTCTATCTCGCTGCTGGGACGTTCGTTGCTACATTCATCTCAACCATTGGCTTCATTTATGTAGGCGAAAGAATCACAGATGCGATCCGGAAAGATTATCTTGAGGGGTGTCTGCGTCAGAACATTGGATACTTTGACACACTTGGCACAGGAGAATTCACGACGAAGATTACGGCCGATGCGACGATTATACAAGACGGGATTTCTGAGAAAGTTGGGCAGCTCATTACATCGTTCTCTACATTCGTTGCCGGCTTCGCTGTCGGATACGCCAAGTCGTGGAAGCTGGCGCTCATCTTGACCTCTACCCTGGTGGCCTTGGTCATAAGCTCAGGCATTACGTCTTTCTTTGTCCTTCGGTATCAGAAGCCGCTGAATGAGGCTACTTCGAAAGCGGGAACTGTCGCTGAGGAAGTGTTTTCCTCGGTCAGAGTAGCCATCGCATTCGGCTCTCAGCGTCGACTCGTTGGCCAGTACGGTAAGATTATCGATGTCGCTCAGAAATGGGGAATCAAACTCCAAGTAACCGTGGCCTTCACACTTGCCGTGGCCTTTGGACTCGTCAACCTGAGCTATGGTTTGGGGTTTTGGCAGGGATCGATATTCCTCGCTCGTGGTGAAGTAGGCCTGTCGGATGTACTCATTTGTGTCATGTCAGTCATGCTCGGCGCTTTCAATGTTGGAAGTATTGGGCCGTTTTTGCAGGCTTTACTCAAATCCATAAGCACGGCAGCCAAGCTCTTTGTTACAATTGACCGAGAGTCTCCTCTAGATCCGACAAGCAACGCCGGCGATACAATTCCAGACCTCCAGGGCTATATACGTCTTGAGAATATCAAGCATATTTACCCTTCGCGCCCCAACGTCGTTGTTATGGAGGACGTGTCGATGGACATACCTGCTAATAAAGTCACGGCCCTCGTCGGAGCATCGGGGAGTGGGAAAAGCACCGTTGTTGGCCTCCTTGAACGCTTCTATGAGCCAATCCACGGAACTGTGTATCTGGATGAGCGTGACATAAGTACTTTAAACCTCAGATGGCTCCGGCAGCAAATCGCGTTCGTGGGCCAAGAACCTACCTTGTTCGCCGTTTCTATTTGCGAAAATATTCGTTACGGCCTACTCGGCACTAGAAATGAAAGCGCCGACTATAGTACACAGAAAGAGCTGATAGAGCAAGCTGCACGACAAGCAAATGCTCATGAGTTCATCATGCAGCTCCCAGAGGCGTATGAAACTAACGTGGGCCAGCGAGGATTTCTGCTCTCAGGTGGCCAAAAGCAGAGAATAGCAATCGCACGCGCGATTGTGTCCGACCCAAAAGGTAAATCACCCGACGAAAGCATTTTCAAACTTGGCTGACAAGAACAAGTATTACTTTTGGATGAAGCAACTTCGGCACTTGACACGAAGTCAGAAGGGGTTGTGCAAGCCGCGCTTGATAATGCATCGGCTGGCCGTACAACCATCTGCATTGCCCATCGGCTGTCCACCATAAAGAATGCGGACAATATCATCGTCATGGAAAAAGGGTGTGTGGTGGAACAAGGCACGCATGGCGATCTTATTGAGAAGAGGGGCGCCTACCACTCCTTGGTTCAGACTCAGAAACTTGAAGAGTGCAAGAAAGAAAAAGAAGAAGCTGCTGATATTTTCGAAACTGCTAAAGAGCCAGTTCAAGGCATGGGCATTCACCATATGTCGACTGAAAAAGAAGGAAATCCAGTCAAGTCAAAAGAACCATACTCTACAGCTATAGAGGTTGAGGAAAGCGAAGAGAGTTCAAAAGAAACCGGAAAAGATTACTCGGTTTTCACTCTAATAAAATTCATATACGGCTTTAACAAATCGGATTGGATTTTGATGATTGTCGGTTTGGTCAGCGCAATCATTAACGGTCTCTCCAATCCCGTCCAAGCCGGTGAGTCTCGAACACCTCTGCATCTTCTCCTCTGGAAGTACTGACCCCGAGCAACGTGCAGTCTTTTTTGCCAAGCAGCTGGTTGTGCTCGCTCCAATCGAACTCCCGGGAATCGATAGGTGGGCAATCCAATCAGAGTCCAACTTCTGGTCGTTGATGTACTTGATGCTCGCCGGAGCCCAATTCCTCGCCCAGGTGGTCCAAGGTTGCGTGTTCGCCCACACTGCCGAGTATCTTATTCGGCGAGTTCGAGAAAGTACCTTATCCTCCTTCCTAAGACAGGACATCAGATACTTCGATAAAGATGAGAACAATCCCGGTGCGCTCACAGCATTCTTGGCTGTTGAATCAGCTCAGGTCGCAGGTATTAGTGGCGTTACTCTGGGGATGATCCTCAACTGCTTGGCCAATATCGTCGGAAGCCTCGCTTTATCCTTGGCAATCGGCTGGAAACTGGCGCTTGTGTGCTTCTCCATCCTCCCAGTGGTGCTTGCATGCGGATTCTTCCGTATTTGGCTCCTCATGAGGTTCCAAGCGAGGGCAGCGAAGGTTTACGCATCATCTGCGGGATTCGCTGCAGAGAGTATCGCCGCGATGAAGACTGTTGCGGCCTTGACCAAAGAGAAGCAAGTTGCTGAAAGATATTCACTGGAAATAGACGAGCAGCAAAAGAACAGCCTCATGTCGGCGGCCAGATCGAGCCTCGCGTTTGCTGCGGTGCAGCCGATTGTATTCCTTTGCTTTGCCTTGGGCTTTTGGTACGGCGGCACGCTTATAGCGACTCGAGAATACGACATGTTCAAGTTTTTCATATGCTTCATGTCTGTAATCTTTGGAGCCCAGTCTGCTGGGTCCTTTTTCTCACTTGCGCCCGACATGGTCAAGGCCAAGCATTCAGCTGGCCAGTTGAAGACCCTCTTGGAAAGAAAGCCCGTTATCGATACTTGGTTCCCTTGTGGAGATGAGCTCACTCACGTTGATGGAACCATTGAGTTCCGCGATGTCCATTTCCACTACCCAACGCGGCCTAACCAGCCGGTATTACGCGGGGTGAGCTTTAAAGTCGAGCCGGGCCAGTATGTTGCTCTTGTCGGGGCATCGGGATGTGGCAAGAGTACGACAATATCATTACTGGAGCGGTTCTATGACCCAGTATCTGGGCAAGTTCTGATCGACGGCACCGATATCACTAAAGTCAATGTGAACAACTACCGCTCTCATCTCGCCGTCGTCAATCAGGAACCAACGTTGTATCAAGGAACAATACGTGAAAATATCTGTATTGGGAGCGAACTAGAGAATCCATCTGACGAAACTATAGAGATTGCGTGCCGAGAAGCCAACATCTACGATTTCATTATATCGCTTCCGGATGGTTTCGAGACCATAGTAGGAAGTAGAGGTGCTCTTCTTTCCGGGGGCCAAAAACAGCGCATTGCTATAGCTAGGGCCTTGATACGATCCCCAAGGGTCCTTCTCTTGGATGAGGCTACATCGGCACTTGACTCTGGGTCCGAGCACGTGGTCCAATCTGCCCTTGATCGTGCGGCAAAGGGCAGAACCACGATTACGATTGCCCATCGGTTGAGCACCATTCAACATGCGGACACAATTCATGTCTTTGACCAAGGACGTATCGCGGAGTCTGGAACGCACTCGGAGCTCATGGCGATGAATGGACGGTATGCCGAGCTGGTCCGGATGCAATCCCTTGATCAGAAGAAGTAAACCAGAGAGAAAATAGTTAGACCATTGTTTGAAAATTTATTAGGTTGGTGATATCCTAGATTTAATCATATAATCATCCATTTGCGCCTACGTATTCCGCTACCGTTTGCTCCGTTCTTGCTGGTGTTGCATTCACATTGACCATCACGGACCTTCTCCATGCGGCTCCCCGACTTCGGACTACGGCATGTAGATGGAAACTAGACAATTGAGTGGCCTCACGCAGACGGCGAGTCTTTTCCTACAAGAACGTACAGTCAGTACGGCGAAGTCGGAGTGTAGAGTGTCATCGGACAAACGCCCTGTAAATCCCCTCATAGGCGGCCCATTCAGTGGCTACAACCGCTGCAAGGCGTCGGAGAGTCGTCGTGCGGGGCCGATCGGAGTAACCTCCAGATTGTGCGGGGAATCGGTCGGCTTAAGACTGATTTCGGGAATACTTAACCAGCACCGGCTTTCCCTCTTCGGAAGTCGAGATTGATATTCCTGCATCTTTTTCGCCATCATACAGTCCTGAATTCCATCTCTCTTTTTTGAAGGTTTCTGGTTGTTCATGGTAGTACAGCCTCGCCTCGCCTGTCCTGATCGCCCAGCATGACACAGACGATTGCCCTGACAGAGTATCTCTTTGCTCGCCTCAAGCAGCTCGGCGTCGGTGCTATACACGGTCTCCCGGGCGACTTCAACCTCACCCTCCTGGATTTCGTAGAGCCTAGCGGCCTCACATGGGTGGGAAACGCCAATGAGCTGAACGCAGGCTACGCCGCTGATGGCTACGCCCGTATCAAGGGTCTTGGTGCCCTCATCACGACTTTCGGAGTAGGCGAGTTGTCGGCCATCAACGCCATCGCCGGTGCTTATGCCGAGCGGGTGCCTGTCGTACATATCGTCGGTGTGCCTTCTCGTGAACTGCAAGACTCTAGAGCCACGGTACACCATACTTTCAATGATGGTGACTTTGGCAGATTTGCACTGATGGCTGCCCACGTCACTGTCGGCCAGGAGAAGCTCTGGGACCCGAGAGACGCCCCCCAGCAAATCGATTCGGTTTTGCGGAAATGTCTCGTCCATAGCAGACCAGTCTACATTGAGATCCCCGTCGACATGGTTGACGCACAAGTATCACGCGAGAATTTGAATATCCCCATCACATCGGGCAATGTTCTTCCAGGCGCTGGACAGGCAACAGCTCTTGACAAGGTTCTGCAGAAGATGGCCTCAGCAAAGCAGCCAGTGATACTTGTTGACGGAGAGACGCGGTCGCTTGGAATAGTCGACGAGGTTCGCGCACTGGTCAATAAAACCGGCTGGCCGACTTGGACGACCGGGTTCGGGAAGAGCATCATTGACGAAACGCTTCCAAACTTCCATGGCCTTTATCGTGGCAGATTTGCGTCTCCTGAAGCAAGAGAATTTTTCGAAGGCTCTGACCTGGTGCTGTTCTTCGGCGCACACCCCAGCACCACCAATTCATTCCACCTTAGCGCTCTACCTTCAGAAGATAAGTCGATTTGGTTCAAGGATACCAATGTTCTCCTGGGATCAGAAATCGTCAGAGACGTGCCCATGAAAGCACTCATGACCGAGCTCCTAAAACAGTTGGAGGCTTCTAAATTCACCGTTTATGAAACCTACCCCTCTCAAATCCCAACAGACACCATATTGTCCTTTGACGGGTTACCTCGAAATGAGCCTGTCACCCAGGATCGATTATGGAAGGTGCTTGCCAATTTCATCAGACCTGGCGATATTGTTATGGGAGAAACTGGCACGCCGGGATATGGAGTCCGGGAGTTCAAACTACCGGAAAACACGCGAATGGTGACGTTTTCAACGTGGCTCTCCATCGGGTACATGCTCCCAGCAGCACAAGGTGCGGCCCTTGCGCAAAGGGAGCTGCAGAAGGACAAGCAAGGTCGAACTATTCTGCTCATCGGAGACGGAAGCTTCCAATTAACAGCCCAAGAGATTGCGACAATGGTGCGGCAGAGTCTTGACGTTGTCATCTTCCTATTCAACAATGATGGATACACAATCGAGCGATGCATCCACGGTGCAAACCAAGGGTACAATGACGTGTCGCCTTGGAGATATCTTCAAGCTGCTAGTTTCTTCGGAGCCCCGGAGGATAGCTACACGAAACGAGTCAAGACGTGGGGAGATCTGGAGGGAACCCTAGGAGATAAAGAGCTTTCGGACGGACGAGGGATTAGAATGGTGGAAATTATTTTGGACCGCGATGATGCTCCTGAAGGGCCATTGAAGGTCCTTATGTCCAAACAAAAACCTGGCATCTAGATGGATTATTGAATGAAATTTATTTACCGTACCAATTCGATAATGAAGCCTTCCGATACTATGGTAAATCCTCTACCCTCGGAAACCTTTCCCAAATCCCAGAAACCTTCATAAATCACCGTAGTCAACCGTGCCTGGGGGAGCTTTAAAGCTCAATCGGGGCTCCATCTGGGTAACGCCCACCAGCGATCGTAAAGTTCTCCAGTATATCATCCAGCTCTTTCGACTCCTGCTCTTCGAGCTCAATAACCTTGCTGTTCTCCTGGACCCGGGACGCGCTGGTTGATCCCGGGATAGGAATGATGTCCGGCATGCCGGCGCGGGTTCCAACATGCCTGACCCATGCGATGGCCATCTGGCCAGATGTGCATCCCTTCTTCTCGGCAAGAGCCTCAACCTTTGCTACGAGCTTCAGGTTGTGTGCCAAGCTTTCATCCCGGAAGCGGGGGAAGGAAGCGAGTCTTCCCAGGTACTGCGCGTCGGCATTGGTCTTGAAGCGGCCGGTGAGCATCTGTTGACATGGAGAGATTAGTAAGATCTTCATGAGTAATTCAACTAGCTACGGCCACTTACACCTCGTGACATGGGGGAGTAGGCAGTGATGGGAATGTTATGCTTCCCGCAAGCGGCTGCGACTCCATTGTGTAGGATATCGGGTGTGAACATGCTGAGCTCGACCTCGACTGCGGCTACGTCGATGATCTTGGCCGCTTCCTCGATCGTCGCGGCACTACACTCTGAAAGCGAAACACCTCCGATCTTGCCAGTATCGACATACTCCTCCTTGAGTACCCGCAGGGTGGTTTCGAAGGAGGAACTGTGGTCTCGCCTGCCGATTCCAAAAGAATCCAGCTTCTTCTTTCCACCGAGTTGCTTTAGAATATTGTCCACGGATCTCCTAATACCTTCTGGACTGCCATCGGGCCGGATAGTTATGGGGTCTACAGCGCCCTTGATGATAATGGTGACCTTGTCGGCGTGCTCAGGGTACTGCGTGAAGTAGCGATTGAGAATCGTCATAGTATTATATTCAGGAGTGCCGTAGAACTCAGCGCCGTTCCAAACTGTCGCGCCGTTTTCAAAGGCCGCCTTGAGTGTCTCGACTGCCTTTTCAACGGGGATGGGATCCGGGCGCCAGCTGAAGCCTTCATCAAGCGAGTTAGTATCTTGTCTATAAAGGAGCTTTCGAATCTATGAGCTTACCCATGAGGCCGAGGCCAATAGGACCAACTTTCTTTCCGAGAATTTGGGTCATTGTGTCTAGATAGGTATTTTTGATTTGTAAATAGAATGTCAGAGTTATTTAGGACTCGTTAAGTTGGATTGTTTGTCTGGGTGATTGCAGCGAGGAGATGGATCTGCTTCTTGATCCAACTCATCTTCCAAGATTCATTTATATTTATATCATTCCTCATGGCGCATCTTTCCACCATTATCACGGGTTTATAATCTCCGCCTCGATTTCATCTAGCCTTGGAAATTTTAAAGTCCGTTGATATGCTCTAAGATCGATTCTAGCCTCGCATATCTCCTGGCCGATGATGCCCACTACTTGCTAGTCGGACATAAGAATCGCGTCTTCGCGAGGCGAGCTGCTTAATTCCGGTGGGCACAAGAATTCGCTCCTGACGCCGCTAAGTGGCGATTACCATCGAGCTAAGGGCCAACTAATCTTTGACTTTCTCGTGTAGGAAAGAGTTATCTCCGAACGCAGTTGATAATCCGCTATTCATTAATCGGCTTGGAGAGGCCGCGCATTATTTCCTTAGTCTGTGATGGGGCTAGATAATCCGTGTCCTACATCTCCAAGTATGAACCATTTCTCTAGATATCAAACATTCGAATACAAGGGGGAAATATACTCTTATTGAGCCCGTTCCGCCACCAAAGGTTCAGAGTTCTTTTTCTGGAGTCCACTTCCATGGCAAGAGGGCCGCCACTCCCTCAAATGGAACATAGGACAGGATCTGGCCTTTGCAGACCAAGGGGTTCAAATATTTCCTTACAAAGAAGTCTGAACCGATCCAGCGCCTCAAAAACCGGTCGATGAACCAATCTTTCCATGAGTCCCACGTTAACTGACGCATGCTTGAGTAAGCTTGAATGTAGATGGCCTTGAGCTCCCGCTCGCGGATGTACTGATAACGGGCAAATGCCTTTCTCAGTGATTCGGTGCTTGGGTTTCCGGCCGACGAAAACACGGCTTGCTGAAGCTGGTTGGCGAGTGCTACGCTCGAATGCAGGCCGCAATTGACGCCTAGTCCATTGACGCTCGAGGTGCACACAGTCGCGTCGCCGGTGATCACAACCCGGTCGGTGTGCCAATATTTGGTGAAGCCTTCATTTTGATTCACCAGCCGAGCGGTGTGTTTGTGGAAGTCGGGCCAAATCTCTCCGAGTGTTACCCCTGGAGCGACTGCCATGTCAAAAAGGGCCTCCGCGACCTCCTCCGTTTGCTCTGCCGTATACGAAACCGGGCCAGCCATCTGCTGAGGAAGCTTTCTGTACAGGACGATTCGCAACGTATCATCGTCTGCCCCTAGCTGGATGGCCCTTCCCGTGTCTCTGGTCTCGTAGAAGATGCCGCTGGGAATCTTCTTAGTGTTGGTACCCTCGGCATAAATGCTATAGTACTGAGAAGTCGTTGGAATATCAAACCGGGGGGTGTCGGTGGCCTCCGTCGCGGCTCTGGACACGGCCTCCTCAATGTACTTCTTGGTCATACCATGGACTCCGTCGGCGCCAATCACAACAGACCCAGTCTCAACTGTGCCGTCTTCCAGCTCGACTTCAACGCCTTGGTCGGTTTCATTTATGCTCGTGACCTTGGCTCCTGTTTTGATGAGGTGTTCCTTGTTTGGAATGCTTTTGTAGAACATCTCGAGCACATCGTATCGTTGGATTGGTAGCGTGGGGTAGCCGTGCCTGGAGACCTGTCAGCAAACCTGCGAGACAGCTTCGACATGGGGCGGAGCAACAACCGACCTTTCTTCCAGTAGATCCCACATGGAATAATCACTCAGCACATAACCACTTTTTGTGATGTCGACCTTCCTACGCAGCCTGTACGAGCGCTTCTTGGCCTCGTCATAGAGCCCTAGTTGATGCAGTAGCCGTACGGTGTGAGGGAAGAGTAGGAGGTGATTTCCACGCTCGAGAAATGTCGATAGAGCTCGTTCAAGAACGACGTAGTCGATTTTCGCTGCGCCGAGAGCTCGGGCCAGATACAGTCCAGCTGGCCCGGCGCCAATGACAATGACACGAAACGGCTGGTCTTGCATCTTCTTTAGCAGAGCAACTCCAATAATGAAAATTTACAACAAGCTCGTGGGTGCGAAGGCGAGAGAAAGGAGGTTAAAATAAAGAAACCTTGCTCGGAACTTGAGAAGAAGAGTAAACCCAGATAGACATCCTGGCTCATTGTTCATTGTATTCATCAGGTTATTGATTCCAACCCCTGTTTGCTTTGTTGAGCCAAGAAACAGAAGTGACGGGGAGAAGCTGACAGGACTTGAACCGCCCCATCGAGACAGCGGTAACCCAGTAATCCTATATGACAAGGACAATATGGTTGGTGCTTACCCAGCACTACTAGAGGGGCTATTCGAAGTGGACAATAGGCTAGCCTGTGTTTCTATGGCTGTAGAGTTGCCAAGAGCCTTCGCAACAATCCACAGTGTTAGTGTTGAGTCAGAGCCCACTTGTCAGGTTGGGCAAGGGTTCGCAAATTAGCTAGTTTCATCATCCTTTTCACCTTTTTCCATATTTTCCCTTAAAATACCATCTTGAAAGATGTGTCTTCCCGTGACGTTGTGGCAGTTACAATAGGTTAAACGACTGGCCGTAAGTGTGAACTACTTGATGAAATGAGACCACACACACACGCACATCAAAGCCCCATTTATATCATGTTGTGAATCATGGTGTGGTCAGCAGCTTACATTTCCAACTCACGAGTCTAGGGTGTAGTTCAGGGTTATCCCCAATCCAGTATCATGCTGAGGAATCGTGTCAGATAGGGGCGACCCTAGTATGGCATATATCCTTGCACAAATTTCTGTTTAATGCGCTTATGCGCCGTGGGCTCACAGTTTATTAGTACTGAGGGCAGTTGTCAATCTAAGGCAAAGAATTTTCGCCGCAAAGTTGTTGAGGCGCTACCACTATCTAGCCATGATGGGCTCATACATATGTTCAAAGGTGAGGTATGGAGATGGGAAATGAGTCTTTGGCTACACTTTAGACTTTCTATTGTTTCTTGTAACACGTCTTGGTCAGCGGAAGCGTCCACACCCATATTAAACTGCACTCATCAGATGCGCAGCTAGAGATACCACAGTGGCGGTGTATCTTGAGGCGTGCATTTAGAGCGAGCTGTTTCAACACGAGGTTCTCGCAAGATTCCAGAGATATATTCCCGTTCTCTCAATAACAAAATGTTGACATGGTGTGCTGCGCCGCTCGTTGAGATTTTCTGCAAGTCTGCCCCATGCTTTTGGTGAGCTTGGCATTCTCTTACCTTTCCGGTATGATGACCCGGTGCTCGCAGACCCGTTTCCTATGTTGGCATTTGCGAGTGGCGTACTATGTAGTCGCATAAGGGTGTCTTGCGAGCACAGCAAGATATACGTAATTTGAAGTATCCCTCAAGATACATTGCGCAAGAGGGTCAGCTAATCTGTATACTCATATTGTCGATCCTGGAAGCTATTTAATACACATCCATCGCTTTGTTGCTTTGGCAGAATGGAGTACTCCGCACGTAAGTTATCTTGGCTGTTCTAAGTCTAACACCTCGTGGGCTGAGAGCTTTCTTGTTAGCCTTGTTTCACTATAGTCGTCTTCATAATGGGATTTGTCGTGTTTTGGACCTGAAATAACTGGTCACTCTTCCAGACGCGTCAGGATTGGAAGAGACCACCCGCCAAGGAGCGGTTTGGTCGCCAAATACCTTTGGAACGCCAGAGTTGGCATGAACTGACTGGTGATCTGCCTAAAAGCCCATATATGGGTTGTTGCGTCATAGATTGTGTTTTCTAGTGTCATGCTCGATCAAGAGGCTAACAAAGAGGGCCCAAAAGGTAGTATTTAAGGTTGGCTCCCATAACCCCAGGTAGAGATAGGAAAAGCACGCACAGGGGTGGGCATTAATCGTAAAGCTGACATTTACTTTATAATAAAGGCGCTGAATAACCAACAGAGAAAGACGCCTAAACCCCAAAAGTTGCCGCTCTCCTCTTGTTACGTCAAGGGCAAACAACAATACTTTCCTTAAGTCATACCCTCATAGCTCTTTCTAAGATTATTAATGACTAGGTCTTCTCAAGTCAAACCTTCCATTTTGGCGTTGTCTGCTCTTACTCATCTCCTCACCCTAAGCGAAAAAGTCCGAGACTTGGGCGCCTTGAGGTTAAGTCGTGAATTCTATTACCATCGCCTTGTTGTGGAAGGTTGTGGAATGAGTCTTCAGGAAACAACCAAAATCCCGCAGCAGATTGTTCTTGTTGCTGCCTGGCTTCGGCCTGTCTGAGAAACTGGGTCCAAAGATTCCGACGACTTAGATCGTCCTTCTCGTAGAGTAAATATCGTTTCAAAGAATCAGAATCGCTAACCCGTCGAGAGATACAGACATCATGAGAAGGAGATAAGCACATCTCATGATTACTGGTCCCGTCGACAGCAAGAAGATAGGAAATTTCGCGAAGTAGCGGTTCCGAGCCTTCCTCCACGTTGAGTCCGAATCTGGCTTCCATCTCCTTCCAATAAGTCACAACCGGCCGGGGGTCTGACCCAATTATTATATTCTTGAGATCAGATACAATAGGACGAGGGTCGGGATTTAAAATCTCGTAGTCTGTAACTTCAGCAAGAATAGGAACGGCGGGGATTAGGCCTAGTTTGAAGTTCATGGGTGCTGAGAACGAGCCCAGCATTATTCGATTACAGTCATCGAGGAGGTAAAGCGCCCAAAGCGACCGAATATTTTTTAAACTCCTCACGAAGGAGTCCACCTCTGCTTGAAGCAGGGTCTCTGGCTTGATTGATTCCAAGATGCCCGGAGATCGGCAGTCAAGCGCCAGGTGTAGCAGACCGACAGAGCCACTATCATAAGCTCGTAGATCATTTAAGAAGCCCAACAATATTTGAGCAGGCGCTTTCAACGACTGGAGGTGGATACAATCATATTCCGGGTTCAAATGCAGTAACGGCCCAACTCTTTCTTCCAACCCTTTCGTAGACTTTAAGGGGACCTTGATGGGGTATCGACAGAGCATAGAATCTCGCGCTTCTCGGTTGACTCGTAATAAAGGACAAATGTACAGCGGATCCCTCGGGATTATTTCGTAGTTGCATCCCGATACGATATTCCCAAGATGGTTTAGATATTTATATCGAGGGCTTTGTCCGAGTTTCCCGTGCTGGTAACTCTCTTCTGCATTGACGACGTGCAACAGCTTTATCGTGACTAGCCGCCGCATCTGGCGACCAAGGTAGAGATGCCAGACCCGAAGCCTAAGCTCTGTAGGAAGTTCTTGGAAATATTGAAAGACTGTGAGATCCGACCGCTCTTGAATACGTGGGATAGACTGGGAGTGGTCGCCAAAGAAAGCTGAGTTGAGCGTGTCAATTGGAGAGCCCATGACGCAGGCAGACCACCTCGGTAAAGCAAGGGGGAAAAGAGAACTGAAACTGGACTTAGCAGCTCGACCCGGGTCAAAAAGTAGTAGATATAGATTGTTTATTATTTTGCTACATTGGGGGCTAGCTTCAGCTAGGTCGGTCTATGTTACGTTGGGTGGTGCGAGCATGGGCGTCAGCGATCTCGGGATTCCTCACTCAGCAACAAGAAATTGAATCCTTATAGGGATATAGATGGATTAATACCCCGCCTCACCACGCCATGTTCTTTCAGCTGACCATCGGTAGCGATTCACCACCAGTACTACATTACCCTGGAGTCAGCCTCACCTTGGCACAGCTAGCTGTGATGTGGGACTGACAGGTGCCTTACCGTAAGAAGTGGAAAAAGGCAAGGGTACTGCCATTGTTGATTGGAGCGCAAGTCGATCTTTATACACTGGGACTGCTCTGTTGGTCGCTCAATTGATGCCGTGCCTTTTCGCGCCGCCAAAACCAGGATGACGTTGAATAGTATTTCGCTTTTGCACGATTCGGTTTGACGGCGATTAGTAGAGCTAGGATACCCGGTCTCGTCTTTGAAGAGCTCGAAGAGTGAATCTTCGTTAAAGGTCGTGAATGCAACCGCATTCGTCATAAGGTGGTTGAAGCGGTCTAATTTCCGAGGAGAATCACCCAACCAAGGGACCTCTTCAACACCAGCATGGCCCAGAAGCAGGTGGTTGGTATGAACTAAGATGCCTTTATTATTCAACTGAAAACCCTTTATACCAACACTAGTATACTCCAGTCCGAGGGCCTCTGATTGATCAGATACGAGAAGATGCATACATAGAAACGTTTCCATCACCCGCCTCAACCCATCTATTGACTTCCATACCACAACAGGAGTTCACTCGTCCATCCCCAAGAATGGAAAGAACAGATGCTAATTAGTGCCTTTCGCAATCAGTTCATACTAAAACACCGAATTATCAGAAATATATAGGTTCGCAAGGTAGGGAGCAGATTTCAGAATATGTCAGAAAAAACTTTCCTGAGATGCAAGGTGTGCTAATAAGAGGCTGGCATATAATTGACGCGAAAGCTTTTTCTGGATCATAATCGAACGTTTCCACACATTTAAGCTACCCTGTAGTACAAAGAAATATCAGTTTTCAGTTCAAAGAGTTTGACAAAACTTCTCTTGTCAACGTGTTGCGTTACTGCAGCTGCTCTCGGACATCAAAAGCTGCTCATTTTCTATAAAGAATTAACTAGTCTTGATTCCGCATTATTAATCAAGGTGGCAGTCAACGATGTCAGTATCCCAAAATTCCTTTTCGCCATCTACTTCAACCATTGATGACTTTACTTCGACTGTCCCTGGTTCGGGTGCTACGACATTTTGCTTGTCACAACGAACATGCCATATAATAATGCGAAACGGTCTATGTGCTTTCAACCGTGGTATATCGCTTTTCCATCAAGAGTTACTGGAGACTCTTTTATTAAATCTAGAACTTACTTGGTCGAGACAAAAGTGGCGGGAAGAGGTTTAGGCCACCCTTGAATCTCTACTCAGATTGCATATCACTAGCTTGAACATGCACCAAAAGTCAATCGTCTCGAATACACCAACAAATAAGAGCAAGAAGTCCGA